CCGGAGATGAGCGTGCAGAAATCCGGAACGAGATTGCTCAGGATCACCCAGTTTTGAAGGGGTGTGTGGGTTTTGTTGACGGGACACTGATTCCCTTAGCTTTTGGGCCAGTCTTTTGTAAAGAAGATTATTGGACGCGGAAGTATTTTTACGGACTGAACTCGATGATAGTGTGTGATCATCGCTGGCGAATCACTTTTGCCCGTCATGGATGGTGCGGGAGCGTTCATGACCAGCAAGTTCTCAGGACTTCCTCAGTAAGACTGTCTCTTTCAATCCTCTAAGAATCATTACACAACACATAGAAGCTGACTGCCCCTATAGCTTTGGTGTCACCCCACTCGTTACTTCAGCGAGGGTGAGTACTTAGTCGCAGACTCCGGCTACAGTGCGTCCAATTACACGGTTCCTCTTTTCAAAAAGAATTCCACCTGCGATCTTCCCGGACTCAAGAATTCTTTTAACAAAGAACTTAGTGAGGCAAGAACAGTAATTGAGCACGTCAACGGGATGCTCAAAGCAAGATTTCAGATGCTGAAGGAATGTAGATTAATCTTACGAGATAAACGCTCAATGAAACGGATAAACGCCCTTTTGATGGCGTGTTGTCTGCTTCACAACTTCCTGTTGAAGGAGGATCCAACTTCATTTTCTTATGGCCTTCCTGATGCAGCGGACCGTGAAGCCGAGCGACATCATGCTGAAGAAACACCGGCGGTAGCTAACGCGGTTTTGGCCGACAACGACGACTCTTTACGCAGACAAGTCTTTACAGACTATTGTCGTCTTATGCAAGAAGAAGACATATGATGTTGGTAAGTGTCATCTCCCTCATGTATTTTGCCTCTCGCTCACATTCTGATTGTTGTTGAAAGATTGTTTCCCCTCGAAAAAAAAATTTAAACTCATTTCGAATGATAAGCCGCTCTGATTTGATTTGAAAGATTGTTTCCGCTCAAAAAGCAAAGAATAAACTCATTTCGATTCATCACCCGCTGCACTTTCTAGTCATGTTACCTTTATGTTTCCAGCTGCCAAATGACTCAAAGAAATGAAAATACATCTTTTTGTGTTGAGACAAGTTGCATAAGAGAGTTAGACAGTGAGAATGAGTCTTCTGATCTCGTTTATCTCAAAAAAGATGGAATCGTTCTCACAAAAGTGTCTTTTCAAAAGCACAAGTTATTCACCTAAGGACTCGTTTTTCTCACATAAGATTCTTTTCAAAAGAATCTTATGTGCACCTCAAAAGCTCCAGTTAATCACCTTTGCATACAACATCTGCGCAGAAAATTGAGAAGACAAAATGGAAAGAGAACTCGTTTGTCTCACAAAAGTGTCTTTTCAAAAGCACAAGTTTCACATAAGATTCTTTTCAAAAGCACAAGTAAATCAACTTTGCATACAACATCTGCGCATAAAATTTAGAAGATAAAATGGAAAGATACAAATGAAACTTTTTTTGAATCATGAAACATGATTAAAAATTTAATCTACTTCTAGCATCTCATCAACAGTCTTCTTCGCTTCGGCCCAGCTCATATTGAAATTATCCATGTATTCCTTGTATAATCTTCCTCGCATTGAAATGTCTTCCATTTTCGCTTTCTTCTTATGAGTCTCCAGTTCTTTCTCTATTTTGTCTAATTCGAGTCTCTCCCGGCGCCTCTTGAGTTCTTTTGTTTCATCTAAGTTCTTTTCCATAAATTCTAACTCATCTTGATTAAATTGCAAAGTTTCCCTTTTGAGTTGGAGTGCTTGTAACGATTGAGTGTGCTCATTAGTTTCTGGGTTTAGAGACTTTGTGATTGCATCGGTCAGTTTGTTGTTCGAGGTGACTTCAGACCGTCGAGCTGCTTGTTCGGCTAACATATGCTTCTTTTTAAAGTCCCACTCCTCATCGCGTTCTTCTCGAGATGGTAAGTGATTACTTAAAATTGAAGAGGAAGGACCTGAATTAACTCGAAATGATTTCCTATTTCCACTTTTGGTCGATCTAGCTAAAGATCCATTGGAGCTCTTTCGAGGGGAAGCATGACGAGGTGTTGACTTGTTAGGATGAGTTGATTTATGAACCCTTGAGGTTGATGATTGACTGAGGCCGACGTCATTGGAGCCTTCATGCTTATCTTCGCCTTCCTCTAAATCTTCCAAAAGGGGACTCTCAATACCACGAAAGAGTTGTTCAAATGATGATTCATCATCACCATCGGGTTGACTGTTGGCTTTGATTTGATCAGCTCGGTCGTTGCCCTCGAGTTGATTATTGTTGTATGTCAACGGTGAATCAATAGTGTTTTGATTGGGTAAGATGTCATCTACATCGATCAAAACATTAGATTCCTGTACGTCGTCCGGTGAATTTGCCTTTCGCCTTCCGAAAGCGTCGACCATTTCTTCATAATATAGACATTTCTTTTTGAGTATTGCTTTAAAATAATGAATATAAATTAGTGGTTTATTTCTAAGTACACAAACAAACTTAAAAAGAAACTGACCTTCAAATGTATCTTCAACCAAAGATAGTCGCTCCTTCCATGCCTCGCTATCAGATGCATACCCATTTGCCTCCTTCTCAGCAAGTGCATCCTCCATGAGTTTCTTCTTCGCACCTTCGCCACTTTCTTTGCGGAAGTCTCGGCCATCGCGATAACTTCTCTTGAGATCTCTGATCTAAGGAAAAAAAACATGTAATGAACATATGTATACATATGTTAAGGAGAAGATCAACGTACTTGTTGCTCGACTGTGGTAGGTTTTATATTTGGAAAGCCATTTTCAGCGAGGTAATTGGCAACATCCTGAGCTATCTTGCCTTTCTTCATCGTGCCTCCATTGGTTCTCCACCAGTCAAGACGAAAACCATCACCAACAGGAGTTGTTAGCCATTCCACTATGAGCCACAAAGGAGTCTTCCCATCCTTGTTGAGGTCTACACACCACTGGGTTCGAGAACGGGCAGGAGACGATGGTTGGTTGGTCTTGGCCTTGGCCTTCGGAGCACCCTTCTTTCGGGCTCTTTTCTTGGGCTCTGTATCGGATTGAGTTTGTTGAGTTTCTTGAATAGCTGGAGTTTGAACTGATGGTTGGTAAGGTGTCACAGGCATCATTCCCCAAATATGAGCGTTGATATTTGGGGAGATATGTGGGGTGAGAACTGGCGAGATATGTAGGTTGATGGTGGGTGAGACAAAGGTATACGGATAGGGATGAATTGGTGGGACTTGACCCGCAATCGACGAGTTTGATGAAGTGCGAGAAAGATGGTGGGAAGAAGGTGGATCAGCCATGTGAAATGAGTGAATGAGGGGGGGTTAGGTGGGGAAGGGCATGGTTGTGTCGAGACAAATATACAAAGTTTTGAACCTGGGTCTATTTGGAACTATAGTTCCAAGTTTGAACTTGGAGTCTCCCAGAACTTTCTGGATGACATTTTTGGACACTTTTGGGACACATTTCTGGAGTTTTGAATACCCCTAATATCATCACCACAGGTATCAATAAGCCAAAGACATTACAATTCACCTTACCATCTGCATACAACAACCATCCCATTCAGTTCAATTAGGATCTTTTTGTCTTTTTGCCACCCATCAACCCCAACCACCCAACTCTGTTTTACTAAGATTCAATGGCACTTGATCAAATATTTAAGCATGAAGACAAAATAAATGATGTTTTTGGGAAGGGCTAAAGTAAGTGTAAGTCCTTGGTGCTGAAATTTTTCAGTAAATAAAGTAATGTTTTTATTTGTGTAGGATAGGACAGGGCACAATCAAACAAGATGATCATTACATGTGCAGTGAAAGATCTGAAATCAATCACCTCCACCATCATGAAAAGGAAAAGATGATCATGATCACAACTGAATCAACAAGAATTCAAACCAGAAGATGAAAATTTGTCTACATAAATGTACAATTAAAAGTTGTACTAGGAAATCCAAAGATCAAATGTTCAATAAGAGAAATTACAATTCATTGTTTTATGTCCAGCACCAAGTGTTTTATAGAAATCAATCATCATTGAAAACTGAAGAAAACACTGTGGTACAATTGAGCTTATTAAATCATCACTTTTGTCTTATTTCTTCTGAACATCCATTGGCTTTCAATAAATGACTATCTGTTTTTGAATCCAAATTTAATCACCTCATTTCAGCACTGATATTTTTACAAATCCTAAACATATCTCAAGAGTGATGGATGTTATTACGCATTAATTATTCCCACCAACTTCCCAGTTTCATAAATCCTGCAATTAATGATGAACTTTAATTTTACTCAAAGAATTGATGTGGATTATATCTTCAAGCTGGAATTATATCAATACCAATTTACAATCAACATCCTAATTTTCCTTGTGCTTTGTATGAGAGACTCAGTCTTGCTACAGAGTCTTATAAGGGGTAGATCAAGACTTGGTCAAAAGTGAGATAGGCACAAACAGGTTTTTAGATAGAAAATAAACCTCGTAATGTATTTTTCTCTTTACTGTTGATTGGTGAAACATGTGAAATATTAGAAAAATTCTATTAGCCGATCTAGATATTGTATATTATTGAAAAGTGAATTGCTCATAAACAATTTCCAGTGTGTTAGAAAATGAAGATCAACCCTTATATCCAAACTTTCAAATTCCTTAGAAGCTGGTAAGTGCACAGAGATCTCATTGACAGCAGGTGTTTATGAAAACATCCTTTTTGACGTGTACATCACCCCCTAACAGGAGTACTAGGCTCCCAGATATACAATGCGGCGCCCATCGCCGCATTGATCTAAAACAGCACTCCATTCACCTTAAGAACCACACGTTGCAACACGCAAGAGGGCAAGACTCTTTTTTTGAGGAAAATGAGGTCCGGCTGTGTGATAATGATGAATGACTTGTAGAAAAAGGAACGCGATTTGAATGGGAGAACAATACAATCCAGATGAGAGAGATATGTACTTGATGAAAATCAATAGAAAGATAGAAATAATCGAGACAAATATTGCAGTTCAATCCTGAGATAAAGGAGGCATCTTTGAGACAAAAGCAACAGTTGGTCTTCTTCCAAGACCCGAAGGAGTTTTAAGACTTTGAAGCTTAGATTGAAAAGCAGAACTGCCATCCGATGACCAAGGAGCACCACAATAATACTCTTCAGGCATTGGACAAGCTGTAGTGGTACAAAAATGTAATCCTAATCCCTTTGAAGGTACCCATGAGTAAAAACCAGTCGAATCCCTATGATAACTCATCCATTCTCTATCCTGACAAGCTATGAAGCTTTGAGTGTCAGTACAATTTTCAAAATTTGACCACCACATCTCTCCTGGAGGCACATGACAACTAGTATATGGATCACTACAGCATTTAGGTGTTAATTGACCAACGCAGTAGCCGGCCAACGAGACAAGCGACCAAATGACCAGTGTGAAGTGCGAACCAAACTACGAAAGAGTATAAAAGTCAGTGAATCATATCATAACAATTAATCCCAGGAACGGTTCAAAAACAAAACTCGACAAAATCCACCGAAGTCTCCATTTTCTCAGCCAACCGAGTTTTGGACAAGAGTACAAAACCTGTCGGAAACACAAGGAAACACATTCAAATTTCGGCAATGCTGTGCATCCCACGTTAATCGGTGATAATTCCAGCCGTGACATGCGTAATCGACCTACCATGATCCATCACCACAATTTTCATACTCACCGCTACTCTCCTCAAACCCTATAACCCACGGCAAATAAGACATACACTGGTCCCCAAAGACAGCAAACGGGCAATATCACATTCCTTATAAACCCGTCCGTTTCAGACACTCGAAGCCAGTGTATTTTCATGTCACCGGAAGCCAGCTCAAGTCGCCTTGCCACTGAATTTCAGGTCAATTCCCACCTATTCAACTTGACATCCTCACAGCTGCCACGCCAAAGAAGTAATCAAGTTGCTTGAAAATTCGTATGTAAGTCATTTGCCATCATAGCCGTCCAATTGAAATTGACATGCTGCTTATTTTTGAATCCATTAGATTACACCAATCACACTTGATATTTGCCGGACATCACATAATTCTCAAAGGCAAGGAATTGACATGTAGGCCTGTGTATAGCTGGGTATCCCTCTGTGATTGCTACGGCAGGCTGCGAGTTGATTCCTTAGTCGTCTGAAGCAGTCACATGCTGTAGAGATGAATATACCCGCCGTGTTGCTACCTTGCCACAAAACGATTGGAAAATAATCGTCATCATCTCACTATCCATCCAATACCTACCTTCAGCTTGGGAGAAATTAAAGCCAAGATGCCATTCAGGTCAGATTTCCTTGACCGATCAAAAACTCCTATCCTGGCGTACAAACAGATATACATTTCAAGTGAGTGCATAGTTTGCATTGATTAGTGTTCTTCAATCTCGAGCAAAGGAACTGTTTGTTTGATAGGTGCGTTGACATCATTCTTCTTCAATTTGTGCATAAATCTTCAGTTTCAACTTGAAACAAGTCATTTTCAACAAGAAATACTGGATCGACTGCATTGTTTCATATGACTCGATGATATTGGATTTCTGTGAATTCAAATCGATCCTGCATACATATATTATAGAGCTTAATGTTGCCCCGATTGAATTTTGATCTTCAGATTAAGATTATCAACCTAGGTTAGTATTAAATCTATACCACATCTCAACACTTCGAGCTAATTTCATCTTTTGTATCCTTGATAATGGCCAGATGCAGATTTCAGGTCCTTGGCATCAACATATTTGGTTTGAGTGATAGCCTCTTGAGCTAATTTTCCATCATCTGAACGAGGTTTTAGTCTGTATGAATCACCCGAGTAGGAAGCTGTTGGGATTGCACTGGAGTTGATCAATGATCAAAATACTTGAGTTAGAACCAGGTGGTTAAGATGTGAGTTCAATCTTTCTTCAAGTACATTTCTAAAAAAACACTCATTCTTCTTGTTTCATCCTCAAAAGTATCAGTACTTCAGTTGAACGTATTGGTGATCTGAAGACAACCCAGACCAGTATTGTCAATGATTTAGCTATATATAGTATAAGGGATTACAAACTGCTTTGAGCCTGAGGTCTGTCTGGCCTGAGTATTTTCTTTTGTTATACAGCCTTCAAACTTGCAGAATTCTGGATCTGATTTCAATCATTGATTTAAATGACCAGCGATTAATATTTGAAATTATCTAGATCAATCTCTTGTGGACTCGAAAGTGGTCAACTTTACAAAATTCAAATTTAATTAAATCAAACCAATACCATGACCATTCAAATTACATTGACTTCGGTCTTCTTATTTTGAAAGGAGAAGTACGGCTTGGCTCAAAATAAGAAGTGTCACTCATTAAGTTCCTTTCAAAGACTTCAGAAGATTGATTCAAGATTGAAATTCAATTCATCAAGAAAATCTTGACTCATTAAATCAGTTGTTTTTTGGAATCATTGATATCAATAGCTTGCCCAAAAATATCAAGAGAAAGATCAAAACTCACCATCTCATGTTGATCTTAAATGAGCCTTAATTAGAGTTGGTTTCTTTTATCTATTTTTGTCGACTTATTGCTCAAAATTTGTTAAAAACTCTATTCATATTTTGCTTTTCATCCTTTGAACCAGTTTCAAATTTGTTCACTAGATCAGTAAATTAAACATTGGATGTGGTTTAATAAAATATCAAAATAGCAGATAGGAGAATTGTGGTCCCAAATTGAAAGTACCCTTATTGACTGCCCAAGGATTGGTGTGTGACTTCATAGAAGGGAAACAACATAATGGATCCATGTGGGTGATATTGATTGATGGGAATACATCAACCAATACTAATCAAAACTGCTGTGAAGGGTGTCTTCATGTTTTTATCTTCAAATCATATAAAGATCAGATCATGAAATGTGACAATCAAAGAAACTTAGTAATTTTCCATTTTGATCTTTTTGTTTTTATAGAAAAATTTATTGAAGATGCATTTTGTAGATAAATTACATCACAGACTTTGATGTTTATGTATAAAAACAAGTCAACCTATTTTCATTAGTGATACAAATGATAAAAATTGAACTAATCAAAAATCAAAAGGCTCAATTGGTAGTGCAATATGGAGTTGCCTTGACACTTGGACAACAGCAAGTGACACACTATGTCCCTGTTTACATGTCCCCCTCAACTCACATTACTCTCAAATCTCATGTAACACTGACTCCATACTCAAGCATACACATTGCAAAGAAGCTTGACAGCACCTAGAACCACCTTGATTGACTTTTGTTTTTCTTGATGAATCATAAAGGTATGTCCAAATGCTAAAGTGTTCCTTCTTCTGCTGATAAAGTTCACAGTCTTTTCGCTTACCCAATTCCATACTCAAAACATGTGAGATCACTTCAACATCTTGGCAAGCCGTAGTCCTTGTGGAGTGGTAGTGACAGAATAATTCTGGACTGTCACTTATGCAGTATGTTCACATCTCCTTGGTTGTGATGCAAACATATATTCACTACTTATCAAATGATAAATTATATTCTTTGTTCTTGGTATTATGCCATAGATTTGTTGACAATATGAAATGAATTATTGACTTATCATTGAAAAGATCAGAAAAAAAGATTGGGACAGATCAACAGCAGAAATTTCTTTTTGTCCTTTGAACTCTTCTGCTTTTGGTTCTTTGGAGTCAGTTCCTGATTGCTTTGCTTTGATGTATTTTCATTGTCATTAGTAGATCATTAGAGTCGGGCAAAGCTTGAGAATAAAGAATCACATGTAAAGTATATCAAGTAGATGTATTTTATTGTCATTTGAGTTGGGAAGTTGTGACTTCTATCTGATCAGACACATTTGGTAACTTCACAGCTGAAAAATTATTGATTTGTTTCTCAGAAAAAACCACATAAATAAAAGGTCAGAAGGCTTAGTATTGCAAAAAGTCTTGAGATTTTAACCACATAGTCACTGATTTTCTTTATTAAAATACATAGATATATTGTCATCTTCTGTTCCAAGTTTCAACCAACCAGTAAGTTTCCTATGAGGTGATGTGCTATACCAATGTTGAAATTCTTGCCAAACATCTATCTATTGTACAATCAATTATTTTCCAAACGTATTTAGTAATCTAAACTCAAATAGACCTACATTCAAAATCACAGCCAAAGTTATTTCTTTGATTGTCCTCAACTTGAAACTTTGAATGGTATGATCTTACCAAATTGATGACAATCAGAAAATGAATTTTAGATAGCTGATCAAATCAATGGTTCTCACCTCATTGTCAAGATCATGAAACAATAAAAAGCGCAAATCTCAATGCAGTCTTTATGTATCAGAACATTTAAAAGATTATGTTGAAATGATTCACTTACAGCCCGCACCATTGATGAATGCAGCTTGAAGTTGAAATTATGCACAAGATTTGTATACAGCTTACATTCTGCTTTGTGGGTATATGCATGATCTCATCACTTAATGTGAAATTGGATCAAGACTAACACTGCAACTGCTCCACTTGAAAAGCGTGTGCGGAGCGCAATTTGCCTGCGCCTGCCCTGCGCTATGCAGAGCCTAGCCTGCCAGCGCACTCTGAGGCAAAATATCTCACTAACAAACTCCATTTCTTATATTACCATGGCTCTTTCAAAACCATCTTCTGTTACTTCAACTCCAAGTACCTGCCAGGTATCTCAACTTCAATCATGACCATCTCATCATTGCCCTCCTTAAGACAACCTGAATTGATTCACCCAGAACTTTATTACACTTCAGAAACATTCATCAATAAATTCAAATAAGATATCACCCTTTTGATTCCAAGTTTTGAAATCAAATCAAATCACATCCAACAAATATCTTCATCAAGTTTAGGGCCATTCTTAATTTTTGAATCCATTTATTTGGTGTTGGATTTTGGTGCCTATGTCTTGAAATATTGATGTAGGCACCAGAGAACTAGCGCCTACCTCTGCTTTGGCGGATTGGAGATGTGGGCGCTAGAAAACTAGCGCCTGCCCAGACTTCAAACAATGTAGGCACCACATTTCCGGCAGCTACACATTCATTTTTGAGCTATGAGTGTGGTTTCCAATTCACAAGTATGATTTTGACTTATGAAAGAGATCTTTCAAGTCATGAGTGTGGTTTTTGACTTATGCAAAACAAATTCAAGTGACAACATGATTTTCAAGTTACAAGTATGATTTTCAAGTCACAAAAAATACTTTTTGAGTTACGAGTATGACTTTCAACTAACAAAAAAGATTTTAATGTCCCAAAAAAGACATTTTGAGTTACAAGTATGACTTTCAACTTACAAAGAAGATCTTTCAAGTCACAAATAGCGGTATGGCGCAACCATAATGCCAAATAGTACACTGTGGTATGTTGGGCTGTGCCAAAACGTACCGCTTACTTAATCATGATGCTGAGGTCCAAGCGTTGTAGGCCTGTTGCATAAATGAGCAATCACAATGTACTCGCATGTGTTGTGACACACACATAAGGGATAATATTCTGGCTTGCAGTAGGCATCAGCTGGAGTTTTTTTGATGATGACAGGATGGGTTTGGGGCATGGGATAGTTTGTAAACGGACATGTTGGGTAAGTGAGCAGTGACTATGAATTTTTGTGTTTTAAAGAGGTTTGTCTTGGCATTGGAAACAGATCAGGGCAGGATAAGCCTGCCTCAAGGCAATGTGGCTGTGTGCAGAATGGAAGAGGGACTGATTGTGAGGTCATAAGGGCACAGCA